GGGGGGGGTGAATGTACAGCGCTCTCTCCCACCTTCAGTACCACGACTGAGGTGCCCTTGAGCAAGGCACCCCCAACTGCTCCCCGGGTGGGTGTAATAAATAATGTTTCATTATATGGGTTTCAACCATACATTGATTGTGATTATGCCCACTGCTCCGGGTGTGTGTTCACTGCTGTGTGTGTGCACTTAGGATGGGTTAAATGCAGAGCACTAATTCCTAGTATGGGTCACCATACTTGGCCACATGTCACTTCACTTTCACGTTCGTGCTATAACAAGTCTCAGTTAGCTTAACGCAGTACACCTAGCAAGTTTTTTTTTAAATAATATAATAAATAAAAAGAAAACAGATAGAATAGAAAAAGAATAGAGCAAGCTAGTGTTAAGAGGCCTTTTTTGCTTTGTTAATTGTATAATAAATGAAAAGAAAACAGATAGAATACAAAAAGATTAGAAAGCTAGTGTTAGTTTTTTTTATTTTTTTATTTTTTTTATAAAGAAAACAAGCAGCAAATGAATAGAGTGCAAGTCTAAAAGGGACAAGTGTTTTTTTTTTTAAGAATAGAATTAGAATAGAGAGTGCTAGAGTTAGAGGGTCAAATAAAGATGGAAGAGATGTGTTTTTAGCCGATTCTTGAAGATGGCTAAGGACTCAGCTGCTTGGATTGAGAATAAACAAATTGAAATAAACAAATTAATTACATTTTAATTATAATTATAAATTGTATACCATTTATATAAATTAAACGAAGACCTGAATGTCTGTTTATTTATCCACAAAAGCCATGTTCAAAAAAGACAAAAATATCATAACAGCATTTTCTGCACTGTCAATATACCATAAGGTCATATATGCGTATGTAGGCATGTTTCAGGACAGATGAGTCTAAGGAAGCGTGAATCATGCCATCCCTGGGGTTCTGGGAATGAGGTCATGAACCTCCCTGCATCCTTTCACCAGCACAAAGCTGTGCAGTGTGTCTGACCTCACACTCTGCATCAGCTGACTCTGTTTTCCCACTCACGCTGCAGGCAGAACAACAGGGGCAGTTTTTGGAGCTGCTCTAGAAATGGGGGCTTGAAATGCCACAGAATTCGTGGCATGAAATGGACCTTGTTTCTGAACATGTCCAAGTCTTTTGCTAAAGGCACGTGAAATGAACATTTACCAGTGATAAATATTTTCACTGTCCATGTTTTCCATTATTTTTATTAAAATATATTTATTATAAAAATATTGTGACAAAGAAATTATTTTCTTTTCTTCAGAAATTATTCATCTTTTAGCGAAACTTTAAAAATGTTTCTCATATTTTTGTCTTGATGGATAAATGCAACAATATTGCACACCATTTTTATAGTTTGACTTCTTTTATTAATCAAATATTTTTCTACAACTACTGGAAAAAAAATTGAGAACCAATGTACAGTAAATCTGAAGTCAACAAATAGTCAGGTGGTGACAGATTGCACACCTCACCAATTAAAAAACCTTTACCAAAAAACTAATAGGGATATGCCGGTATCAAATTCTCATGTTGCAATTAATTGATAATGCTTTTATCACGGTATGCGGTATTATCACGATATTGAAATTTAGTTTTAAAAAAAAGTGCTGTCATAATACGGCACAAGTCTAAAACTAAAGCATGACCCCTTTGACATTTTCAAACCTGTAAGCCTAGAAATGCACTAATATTCTCTCTCATGGGGGTACTGATGAGAGACCATGAATAAATATTTTATTACAGTCATAAATTATTCCTACAGCACAGTGACAATCCTCTCTTACTCAGATGAGTTCAAATAACCATTGACAGCAAGTGAAAATATGCGTTTTGAAAGAACACTCACTGGTAGTGTTGCCTGACATTTGGATGATACACTTGCTCTCTTTTCCAATCTCTCGTGAATTGAAGGGACGGACCCTCACGGCTACTTTCACCGAGGCACCTGCCATGGTGTCTGAGTGCTGGAGCTCTGCTACTGCACAGGATCTGATGGGACGAAGCCCAGCCAGGAATCAGAGGCCACCTGCCACCTGTAGAAAGAAATGCAGACATGCTACTGTATGTGCAGAAATATCAAAAGAATATGTGTTCTTTTACTTCACTATAGAATTAAGAGTACAGTAAAGATACAGTTAGGCAATTAGAATAACAAAACACCATGTTTCATCAACAATCAACTCTTCTTTTGCAAAACAAGACTAGAAATGTGTTAAGGCCTACTCTTTAGATTTAGTACCTTAGCAATTCACTTCAAGAGATAATTAAAGAAAATCCCCATAAATCTGTTCAGCCCATTGTACTGGCTAAGTTACACCACTGATAATTTAATTTAGGTAATGGAGTTCTCTGAGATCCAGACCATGACTCATCAGGACTTTTATCACATTCAGTAGATTACTGTGCATCAGATATGGCTATGTGAACTTGTAAAACTATATGTAGCGAAACAGATTTACAAACGGGTTTAGGATTCATATGTGCAGATTTATTAAAAGAATAAACAAACAGCTTGTTCAAATCAGAAGAGCAAGGTCAGCCAGCCGGCAAAATTCAGGCCAATTCAAGGCATGCAGACACACTAACACAACTCGTATTGTAGATATCTTCATACCAAATTAAGAGCTCTGATAACCGATCCAAAACCAGGTACAATATCAGAAAACTGTTGGAAACAAACAGTAAACAAAAATTACAGATTTTCTTGTTTCCAATATACTTACTAAATCCATATCACAGATTACAACAAAGCAATTTCATTTCATTAATAAATTAATAAGTAAATTCACGTTCTCATGGCCCCTGGGATTCTTTGTAATAAATAATGTTTCATTATATGGGTTTCAACCATACATTGATTGTGATTATTTATAAATATGGGAATTGCACTGTATCTGTATGCAATTATCATAACAGCATCTTAAAAATAAACTCTGGGTCAGTGACATTTCATTTCAACAACTCTGAACAAAAGATTATGGCATCCAACATAACCCATTTAATAACTGTCCAACGGTGGATATAGTAATCCATTTAAAAGAACTGACAAAAAAAGAAAAGAAATGGAAGTGGGTCAAGTTTTATGTCAATTCTTTGATACTGCAAAATATCATGCACATTCATGGTTTTAATCATGATGATGGATTAGAAAAACTGTCCTAGTTTCTTCTTTTCTAAAAAGCATATCAACAAATTTACTTAATTCCTCCATGAGGAATCAAAATGATTTAGAAATAATTTGGAAAAAAGACAACATTTATGTGACCCTGGACCACAAAACCAGTCTTAAGTCGCTGGGGTATATTTGTAGCAATAGCCAAAAAAACATTGTATGGGTCAAAATTATCAATTTTTCTTTTATGCCAAAAATCCTTAGGATATTAAGTAAAGATCATGTTCCATGAAGATATTTTGTAAATTTCTTACCGTAAATATATCAAAACTTAATTTTTGATTAGTAATATGCATTGTTAATTTTTGCATCCTCAGATTCCAGATTTTCAAATAGTTGTATCTCGGCCAAATATTGTCCTATCCTAACAAACCATACATCAATGGAAAGCTTATTTACTGATTTATTGATGTATAAATCTCAATTTTAAAAAATTGACCCTTATGACTGGTTTTGTGGTCCAGGGTCACATATAGGCTATTTATTGCAACATTTTATATTGAAAATTCTCCTATTCATTTACACTTTGATTATTTTTCTCCTTAATTTTACTGGCAACTTAATGTGGGATGCCCACCCATAGTGAGATATTCAGAATTAAAAATAGAATGTGGCTATTAATAACAAGCTGTGGATTAATTTGGACAGCATTTGTCCATACACTAACTCTATCCAGAAAAAGACTGGGCTAAGTGCCATCCTTCGAGCAGAAAATCATAGTTATGTTTGTACACAATACGGAGCAAATGTTATTTACCACGTATGGCCCTCATAGTCTACTGAAAATGGCTGACTGTCAGAGCAGTCATGAATCAGCTGTGATGGACGAGCATTTGCGTCAGCTTCAGCCCAGCCAGCAAAACAAACGCAATGAAGCCGTTTTAACGGTCATTAAGCAAACCAATTATGCAAAACAAGGTTATCGTATATAAACATGCACCCCATCTGTTTATATTTAGAGCTGCGTCTGCGTAGATGCTGAGATGCGGCAGCAACACCCAATATAGCCTACACTGCTAGCGACGCGACATACAAGATCGCTCCCAATATAATCAACAAAATTATCTACACGATTATAATTGACATCATCTAGTTTACATTGCGATTTTTCAAAGCGTTTCAGCGTATCGCGTCGTTGTAGACTTGAGGTGGTAAAGTGTGACGCGTCTGTTACTATGGCAATATTTTGTCAGAATCTTTAGTACAGAGCAAAATACAGAATTTAATTTCGAATTTCTAATATTAGCTAAATAAATAAATCGTTTCCTGATCCGCAAATATTAGTGCGCACTGTATTCATTCTCCCTAACGCATCTAATTAAAAAAGCTACATATATTCATCTTTTCCCTCAGTAATTATCCGTTTAATCTTTCTGGTCTTAGAAATAAAAACATCTGAGTTATGAAAAAGGCCCAGATTTCATGACATGGCCTCACCCTGCACACATAAACAGCATCCTTCATCACCATGGCTAGTCTCAGGACTGACAATGCATGTAAATAAGACTGAATAGCAATTTTACATTAAATGTCTTTTGATATCCAATAATAATAATAATAATAATAATAATAATAATAATAAATATATTTATAATTATATAAGTCCAAAAACAGTATGATAATACAAAATCAAATTTAAACATCCCCTTCGAAATTTTTTTTCTTATTCTTTTCTATTTCAACAGCCTCTATGTGGCTTTCGGGACAGGACTAACGTTACAGGGGAATAGTGCACCACCCTCCTTATTCTCATAAGAGACATGAAAAACAATGGTTTAAAAACACATAAATCACACAAACAATAATCAAGATCTCACATACCTGATTCCTGATGACAATATCCTGTTGAGATTGCGGACAGCAGTGGGCTATTCCATCAAGTCTGCTATCATCCGCCGTCTTCTTCCTCACCCAGTTGTTGTATTTTTTTCCTATAGGCTCTCAGCCTCTCCCTTGCTCAGCAACATCAATGCAGGTGGAGCCCCCCCTGGCAAAATCATCAGACTGAGGGAGTCTGGTTTTGCAGGGCCTGGTACGCAGTGGTGCGTCAGGAAGCTGAGGGAGGGGTTAATTGATGTGGGAATGCGCTGAGACTGTAGTGTTTCTTCAGCGCAAAATGGCTCTTACGGCGGAGCCAAGGATGATGATCGGCCGTGAGTCGCTGATGACATCATCAGTGTGGGAGCTAGAGGCATGGAAGAGAGAGGGGAAGGGTGTGACAACAGCATCACGGGACAGTCAAAAGACCACGGTTCACGGATTTGCTTCCGTGTCCTCGAATATAAACCACAGTGTTAAAAGCACAAAGAGCTCATTTTAAATTCTAAACTCAGCCGGTAAGGTTTGTGTCTCAGTATGCACAGCACAGACCCTCTCAATGGACTCATTATGAAGGCTGAGGATGCCAGCTAAGCTTATGCAAAGAGACAAACAAGTTGGGTTCACTTATATAAAAAAAAATTAAATAATAATAAATAAATAAATAATAAGACCTGCAATGTACACTACAGTTCAAAATTAATACTTTTATTCAGAAAAGATGTTACCGTTAAAAGTAACGGTAAAGACATTCACAAAAGATTTCAATTTAAAATAAATGCTGTTCTTTTGAGCTTTCGATCTGACACTGAAGACTGGAATAGATGACATTTTAAAATAAATTAAAATTGAAAATGGATATTTTAAATTTTAGTAATATTTGACAATTTTTTACTACTGTATTTTTGTTCAAATAAATGCAGCCTTGGTGACTTCTTTCAAAATCATCAAAAAAAAATTATCAACCCAAAATTTTAAACAGTAAATGAACAATATATTTGTACATCCATGTCAATTTCATTGATATCTGTACAAAGGAAGAGAGGGGCCTAGACTAAAAAGAATATTTACAATTTTTAAATATTTTTAAATGATACATTTTAAATATTATTTTTAATAAAACATAATTAATATTTTTAAGCAATTCATAACTTGACAATCGCCATCTAAATAAAATAAATACAATTTATGTGAATGCGTTACATGAAGGACTCCCATTTTCTCCATATTTTAGAATGTTTCCGCCTAGCGCTTGCGGCTCTGTGATTGGTGGCTCAGCTATGAAATTACAGAGAATGGCAGAAAAATTGACCAATCATATCTTTCCTATAAATGGGTGGGCCTTGTTAGCGCTAACTTTATGACAAGTTCCGCCCACTGTGGAAAAAAAATCGGCTAATAAACTAACTAGCTATTATTCAAGTCACGACAAAAGCCGCAAATAACGTAAGTAAGGACATTTATTAGGCCGCTGTGCCAATAATAATATTATTTATTATAAACACTGATAGTTTGTCATAATTTGTTGGTTTACATTAAACACACATTAGCTACATTTGTTGGTTTTGTGCACAGACCAATTGTGTGATGATGCATTTGTAATGAGTATTTTCATTTGACTTAAATTGAGCTATGTATTATTTTGGTGATATCAGTTACTCTCGCTGTGCATTTGATTTTTATTGTTGCATTTCTGAAAGGCACACCGGACGAGAAGCGCAGCGTTCAGTTCAAGATGACAGTCCAAAACCAATCAATCCATTTTCCCAACTGTCAAAAGTTCACTTCAAGAATGACCAAGTGGTGTCAAGGAGTTTGAAGTTCGGTAATTGAAAAAAAACAACAACAAAAAACAGAGCAAACTGAATGAAAACGAGAGAGATTTCAGTCGAGAAAGCAGTCGATTATAGGAAGCACGGACTTTATTAGAGCCACAGAAAGAAAACGTTTCGCTGAAAAATGCACAATACACAATCTTCCAGCCTAGGATGAAGTCATTATGTACATTAACAATAATTTGGGACAAATATAATATAATTTAATGGAAAACTATGTGAGTAGCGCTCTGTGGCGCGGCCGGATTTTGAACGGCGCCCAGAGTCGCAGCTGGGATCCGCGGACAGTCGCCGGTCAGTGCGTACACTCATAGAAAACACTGTGATACAATTTTAAAGACGTGGTGCGGCGCGGCGCAGCGCTTTTCGCCCGGATTAGACTGGATTAGCCTCTTGGTTCAAAGGTGGAATTGTCAAAGATGACTTTTAGAAGAAGACACCGTAAACTAAGCTGGTAGTTTGTTTTTTCCCTCGACTAGGGTAGGGGGAGAGGGCCTAGGTTCAAGAGTCATGGTTCGCTACTGAATAAAAAAAATAATAATAAAGAAAAGTCTAGACGGTAACACTTTTTTTCACTCTGATGCGTAACCTTCCATAATAAGCGAGAAAATTTATTTTGAAGATAATTTTATATTGTACTAAAGTCAGATTAAAAATGTTATAACTTCAATGGGATAAAATGATTTTAGCAGAACAGCCCCATCTACCGGACAGCTGACATTCTGCTCACTACATTACGCAAGGACGTCAATTTAAATGGTACCTGACAAACACACTTTTTTAATTAGTTTTTGAATTGTAGTTTAATGGGGTCAAGGTCATCTATATCTGCCTGAACGTCTCCATTGGTCAGTACGTGTTACATCAGGGTACATGTCCCGTCTTTCACAAAAGCATGGCAAGAGTTGAGTTACTTCTGTCTCTTACTCTGGCCTGTGAAGTGGATGTTTGAGCCCCACCACAGTGCAAAGGGCACACAAGGTTAAACATTGCATTTCCACTTATTTACTGTGCAGACTAATTATTTACTGCAGGACCAGTGCTCTGGTCAAAGTCCCCGCTCTGACATCAGCATCTGCTTCCTATGACACACGACTAGTGTGCTTTTAGAGAATCACTATGTTCTGATCAGGTACTTTTGTACAGAGTAAGCATTTTTGTACTGAATGGGAACAGCACAATCTATTCACGTTCAAGACTTTGTTCATACATAGTTATATAAATATGATGACATTAATTAATATAGTAATTAAAATAAATAAAGGAACAGTTTACCAAAAATGAAATTTTTCTGAAAATGTACTCTCCCTCCCAAAATATAGATGAGTTTGGTTCTTCATGGGAACAAATTGGGATAAATTTAGCATTACATCACTTGTCGTCAGAACAGCTGATAAAACATTTCATAAAAAGATCACAATAATCTCAAGTAATCCACATGACTCCAGTCCATCAATTAACGTCTTGTGAAGTGAAAATCTGTGTTTGTAAGAAACAAATCCATCATTAATATGTTTTTAACCATTGCTTCCAGCTAAAATATGAGTCCTCTATCCATATTATTTCTTTTTAGTGAAAAAGTTGCTTTTGTCTGAATCAGGAGAGAAATATGCACAGATCAAGCACTGTTTATAAGCCAAGACAGTCCAGAACAGTTCTAAACAAATATTTTGGTGGATTTTGATGTGAGAGGACAACATTGAAGGACATTTTTTTTACTGGAGAAAGTGTTATTATGGATAGAGGACAGAAATGACAGTTTAAAGTTAAAAAGCCTTAAAAAAGATTGTTTCCTACAAACATGCAGCTTTTTGTTTCACAAGACATTAACTGATGGACTGGAGTGGTGTGGATTACTGTGGTGTTTTTATCAGCTGTTTGGACTCTCATTCTGACGGCACCCATTCACTGCAGAGGATCCATTGGTGAGCAAGTGATGTAATGCTAAATTTCTCCAAATCTGTTCTGATGAAGAAACAAACTCATCTACATCTTGGATGGTCTGATGATGAGTACAATTTCAGCATATTTTCAATTTTGGGTGCGATTTTCCTTCAAACAAATCATCAAAAATACTAACTTACTACCAAATACAGACTTAGAAATTAATGATTCAAATGCAAATAATGTGAACAACTTCCTGTTTGCCATTATATCTGTTAGATTTTACCTGAAATTAGTTCTTAAGCAGTAAAAATTTCCAAGTAGCATGTCACAAGCAGCACACCAGTTGGGAGGCCCCCTACCTAGACATTTGTTAAAAAATGAGTTTTAATATAGCTGTTTTTAAACATTCAAACTGAAATATCAGAATTTGAAAAAATAATATGTGCAATAGTCATGTGCAATACATTAATATGCCCTGTAGATCTAATACCATGTGCTGCACTGACCATGTGAGGGACAAATGAAATGTGAGTTGGACTTATTAGTGTGTGCTTGTGTGTTTCTTCACATCAGCAAATCAACAGTATTGAGAAAGGTACACTCCTCCTCTGAGCTGGTAAACAAGTGGAGAATGAATGAATCAATAGAGCACCTCACAAGAATGTAAACAAAAACTGATTATTTTTATTTATTTGTTGTTGTTTCAAATGCAGTCCTTATGTGATTCTAGATTTTTCTTTTTACCTGATTAGGGCCAGATATTAGGGTTTTTCAGCTAACTTAAACAGTATCAAACTCATTTACATTATCTCCAAATCTAAAAATATGGATATTAATATTAATACTGGATTTAAATCCCTTGACTAATCGACTGCAACATATTGTATTCTCTCAGCACAAGGCAGTTCAACTCTGTGAAAAAGTTCAGATAAACACGTGTGTTCTGTGTATTTTTGTGAGGTGTCAGGAAACTTAAGGGTTAAAATATTGATTTTAAAGACGAAAGGACGAAAAAACTAAAACATACAGCCTTACATAATAATACAGGACTCCCTCTCTATCTTTAGGCTACCACCCTTTTCTATTTTGTTATCCTGTTCATAATTTCCTCATATCCACCTCTGGTCTCTGGACCGTTAGGCTATACCTTGTTTGGAAGATGAAGGGCGGGGGCATTTTGTGCCAAAAGCCTGACGCATGTTGCTCTGTGTTCTAGGGGTCGAAGACCCGTTTGTTTAAAATGCTGGACAAACGCAAAGTTTTGTCTTTCTAACGAACAGCAGCGAGAGGAAACATGATGCCGAGGAGTGTCCTATCCAGGTGTGCGCGCTTGACGCAGCAGGTGCCTTTGGAAAGCGTGCGGTCCACCAAACACGGCGTCCACCGCGGGATGTCGTCTGTGACCATCCCGCCACCAGCGTGCATGCTCCGGCCGCTCGAGGTTCCATTTCGGTACCTGTTTGGACCAGGACCATCCAATGTGCCGCCTCGCATTTTAGCGGCAGGAGGGAGACCTATAATAGGTCACATGCACTCGGAAATGTTCGGGGTAAATCTTACACATTTTTACACACAAACGCATTTTACAAGTTTAATATGGGTCGAAGGCAAACAAGGATTTATAAGAAAATCTAACATAAAACACGTACCATGTTGTTAAAAATGAAATAGCGTTAACAACAATAATTTAATTAATAAAATACATTTAAAGATCTCTTGTAGTGAAACCAAGTAAATCTTTTCAATCTTTATCTTTAATTTTGTTCAAAAACGTCTTCATCTTTAAATACTTATGTATTCTTTAAATATTAAAATTCAAAGCGTGCCTTTCTATGAAAAAGCTATAGGCTATATCGTAAAGTTCATTACTAGATTAGTTCATAAATATTCAACAATATTTTAGAATTAATTAATTAATACTTTACATTTTAAATACTATAAGATCTTAAAACAAAGTGCTTCACTACTTCTTTTTTTTAAGAATAATAAAAATAGTCATGCCAAACTACTCATAACAACATTTCTATAACAGCAGCAGAATCTCCAAATTGCTTTAAAAAAAATTCCAAATGAATTGAGTTTTTCAAAGTTTGGAATAACTGATTAATAGATCTGGGCTAAAAAGCATCATATATTGATGGCATGATTTTAGTATCAGAGCTGCCTTGGAAACTTGGATGTTTGGAGGATTCTAACAGTCCCTGCACATATTTTGTCACAGATTATGAATGATATCAAGAAGGGAATTCAGTATGCTTTTCAGACCAGTAACAACATGACACTGGCCATGAGTGGCTCTGGACACACAGCCATGGAGTGTGCAGTCTTTAACATTGTGGAGCCTGGAGAAAGTGTTCTGGTTGCCATCAATGGAATCTGGGGAGAACGAGTCGCAGAAATTGCTGAGCGGATGGGTATGAAACTAATAATAAAAATAATGCCAGCCCACTGTTTTCTAGAAATGTATCTTTACTTGTTGAGAGTATGAGAGCATGCTTATACTTTAACATCTTTCTTTTTTCCCAGGTGCAAAGGTTCACACCTTGTTTAAAACACCTGGAGGACATTTTACAAATGCAGAAATTGAACAGGTGATACTGTCCTTAATTTATTAGTGCTGCTGTGTATACAAATTGCAATTTCATACGCCACTGTATGTTATATGACTAGTAAAGCAAACCCCTGCTCTATAACCAGCATTTGTCATTCTACACATTCTACAGGCTCTGGCTAAATATAAGCCAGTTCTTTTCTTTCTCACACATGGAGAGTCATCAGCTGGTCTGGTGCACCCAATGGACGGCGTTGGTGATATTTGTCACAAGTAAGAATATTCTACAATCATTTAGCTTACTGTGTGACTTCTATTGTACTTTTATGTAAAATCTTTTACATGCTTCTTTTTGTTTTTTTTTAAGCATGCAAGATTTTCTGATTGGTGTACACACTGTAGAGATACACTTCGATTATTTGTAAAAAATAAATGTAAAAAAAGGAATAAAATAAAGAAATATCTAAGGAAAAACGTTCAAAGAATGTAAAGGCAAAATAAAAGTTTAATTTCAATATTGCTAGCACACAATATTGAAAATGACTAATATTGGAAAAAAATAATTTGAAAGTTAAATGTCTGTATTGTCTACTGTTCTCCCACATTCGCTTTTCAAGTTAACCTTAACTTCATATACCTCTCTTGCATGGTTTTGTCTATACAGATACAACTGTTTGCTCTTAGTTGATTCAGTGGCGTCATTGGGAGCTGCACCTCTTTTAATGGACCAACAAAGTGAGTGGATCAAAATATGAAGTTATTTAAATATGTAATTATATGAATATGAAGTTATATGAACATTTAAAGATGATGTTATTTACCAAGTGCATATTCTAAATCTCTGTGTAAAAGCATGAGGATTGAATTCAACTGTTCAAACCTTCTTCCTTTGTAGATATTGATATTCTGTATACTGGTTCCCAAAAAGCCTTGAATGCTCCACCCGGCACAGCACCAGTTTCATTCAGTGAAAGAGCATGGTGAGGAGAAATATTTGTAAATGAATATGAGTATGTGCTTGCACACATTGAATCATTCAAACAATTAATGGAATCCACTAACATTATCCATTTCTTCTCAAATGTGACATAGCCACAAGATGTTTAACAGGAAAACAAAGCCAGTGTCCTACCTCCTTGATATGACCCACTTATCCAATTACTGGGGCAATGACGGCAAGCCAGAAAGAATGTACGTATTGTAAATGCAAACTGTTGCTCTTGCAAGACCTAGTAGAGCATGGTTGCAAAACTCAATTCCTGGAGGGCCACAGCCCTGCAGAATTTAGTTCCAACCCTGCTCCAACACATATACCATGTATTGTATTTTCCAAATAAACCTGAAGGACTTGATTACCTGGATCAGGTGCATTTAAATAGAAGCTAAACTCTGCAGGGCTGTGGCCCTCAAGGAACTGAGTTTTGCACCCCTGTAGTAGAAGACTGAGCTGTCTGAAGTTAACTAAATTGTGTTTCAGATACCATCACACAGGACCTGTGTCTGGGTTCTTTGCCCTGAGGGAAAGTCTAGCCATCCTTGCTGAAATGGTAAGGGCTTTTTTATTTTATTTTAAGTAAACATTTAACACCTTGCTTGTCATAATAATTCACTCTTCAATGGTTAATCTTTTGGTCCCAAAGTCTACAACTATAGGACATACTGCTTGTTTTCTCAACTATGTATTTTTGTTTGAACTATAACAGGCCGGGTGCTTAGATTTACAAATCTGTTATGTTACATACACTCCCATTCAAGTTTTGGGTCGGTAGGATTTTCTTACCCTTTTCTTCTTATGCTCACCAAGGCTACATTTATTTGATTAAAAATACAGTAAAACAGTGATATTGTGAAATATTATTACAATTGAAAATAACTGTTTTCTTTTAAACAATTTTAAAATGTAATTTAGTCCTGTGATGGCAAAGCTGAATTTTCAGCAGCTATTACTCCAGTCTTCAGGGTCACATGATCCTTTTAGGAAATATTCTAATATGCTGATCAGCCGAAACCTTTCTTTTGTAAGATTTGAAATCAAAATCAGTTGTAATTTTATAACTGTCTTTACTGTCACTCTTGATCAAGTTAAAGCATCGTTGCTGAATAAAGTATTAGTTTCTAATATATATATATATATATATAATCTGACTGACCACAAACCTTTGAATGGTAGTGTATTTCCTTACAAATGTATGTTCCTTGTAAATGTATGTCTGCTATTAAGCACTTACTATATTTTAATATATATATATATATATATACACAGTATATATTAATGACTGATAATGACTAATAATGTCTGCTCAAGGGTCTTGAGAACTCATGGAGTCATCATACAGAAATTGCAGAGTACCTCTGGAAGGGCTTGGAAGACCTGGGCTTGAAGCTGTTTATCAAGGACAAGGTAACTGTTGTTGACTTCACTTTATTAATTCTGAGAACAATAACATAACCTAAAAGAGAAAGCAGTTAAAATATAGATCCATTCCTAAAGGATCTGAGATTACCCTCCGTCACCACCATTGCCATCCCTGAAGGGTACGACTGGAAGGAATTGCTGGCTTACATCATGAAGCATCACCGAATCGAGTTTACAGGAGGTCTAGGGCCCTCTGTTGGCATGGTGAGTAAAAGCTTGTCAAGAAGACATGACAATGCAGCATTCAACTACATGGCTGTATAATTATCCACTCAACTGATTTCTAGGTATTGCGGATCGGGCTCATGGGATACAACTGCAACAAGGCCAATGCTGCGATGGTTCTTGCAGCTCTGGAAGACGCTTTAAAGCAGTGTCGAAAGTCCAAAGCCTAAAGACTACCTGTTGACCTGAATATTTTTGCAGTTTCATATGGTGATGCTTGTAGTGCGAAAATTACACACTAATGTAAAGAGTTATTATATATGATGTTTCATAACGGTTGGTATAATGAGGAAGAATTTTAGCTGATTAGAAATTGTACATTATGCATCCCATTGAACAAAACCAGCTGTTTTCAACGTGTTTCTCAATGTCCTTTAAAGTTTCGACAAGCATCACTCCAGCACTTGAATGACCTTTATAAAAACATTACCGAGAAATAAATAATTAATATAATTTCATCATTTGGGTTTACAATGCGAGTTCAGTTACACAGTACACAGGATGTTCAAACCATTGTTATTTATTCTCCTTTTGAAAATTATTTGACTATGAGAAACATGAAGCCATTTACCAAATTTCAATTGGTACTAAAATATAAATAGTGCTTTAGCATTTCCAAACAAACAAAACATAAAAGCAAAACTCAAAGCATCTGAAACTCGACAAAACATTTCAGACATTTACATTAACAAACTGCCAAAAAACTATTTTTTCATGAACAAGAAACAAATTAAATAAGCTTGGAAAATGAAACATATTCCAAAATCATTTTTGAATATTTACAACTAAAAGCACTGCCGGAATCATTTCAACTTTTCTAAACATAAACCAGCTAGGTATTGCAACGGTTTCCTTATTCTCCCCCAAAGTGCCTTTTCACTTTGGCTGCTATAGGGAATATAGTAACTAATTGCACCAAAAAGTAGTGCTGAAACTCCTTCATCCACACGAAGGTCATTTTGACCTTCCCCTCCGCATCCTCGTAAAGGACGATGAACTGCTCGCCTTCATACTCCAAGTCCAGCACTCTTTGTCTACTGTACATTTTTACAGTAGAACTCACACACCAGAAGGGACGCTGAGCCTCATCCAGCACTGTCAGAGTCATCATGCAGCAGCCCTGGAGATGTGGAGCATGTAAACATTGTTGTTTTTATCATTCCTTGATAAAGGAAGCAAGTTTAGGAAATCATACAGTTGTGGACAAAATTTTACATACACTTTGCAGTATCTGCAAAATGTCCATTATTTTACCCAAATAAAAGGGATCATACAAAATGCATGTTATTTTTTTAGTACTGACCTGAATAAGATACTTCACATAAAAGACGTTCACATATAGTCCACAAGTGAAAATAATAGTTGAAACTGTATGTACAATTTTGAACAACTGTATCTAACTAAAATACACAATAAACAGTGCACAGTTGTCTATATAGTAAGTCTTGCTACATTCTCATGTTGTAAATCCAGCTGTCAACTCTAAACTGCACTCAAAGTGCATTTAACTTCAGACTTCTAGTATTTGGCCTTGTTTATGTTCCCCATTCACACAGCGTGATACTTACCAATCTATTTATAGACAGTATCCTAAGAATAGCATGCCAGAACTGACTAACCAGTCAGTTCCAGGGAGAAATTAAGTCTAAATAAAGTGGCCAATGAGAGTAAGAATCATATTAGGCACCTCAACATCTCCCTGCAATCCCTCTGCTTCCCATGGAAGACTGATCTTTGCCACAGGCATGTGCTCGGATACATTTGCGGAATCAATAGCGATTAACTGCACAAATTCCCCTTGCGACATCACTGTGAAGCCTAAGAACAATGTGCAAACATTCATATTATTCACATCATATATCAACAGTTTGATATATCATGCTCATAACTTGTTGAAAATCAGACTGCGGAGGGGAAAAAAGTAAAAATGGGTTTACAAAAATATTATATATTTACCTCTCCTGGTGTACAGAGGGGAAAACCGCTGACACATGATTCGCTGAACTGGATTGTGAAGCACAATGTGCAGAGTGTATCCATGGCGACTACAGTCAGGGTCCACAGCATTGTCCTCTGCAGGTATGTAGAGACTATTGATGTGAACAAACATACTTTATGTGTTAAGGGACTGTGTGAGATGTTATCAACTTCATCAATGTACTAAATAACCATTAAGAGTTTTGTTCCAAAATCTTGACCCAAGGAGACTTCTTTCAATCAGTTTGTGGAAGTGCAGGTTGATCATGATGAAGGCAATTTTCCAATTGCCCTACAAGCACCACAAATGAACATAAAAACAACATAGATAAAATAAATATAGACAGGATGTAAATAATGTTTTCAATAATATAAAGTTTGTATTTTAAAAATCTGAATGTTTTATATTAAGGATACACCAATATACATTTCATACATGTATGTATGTAGTACAGTATCTATGTATGCATAACATGATATTAGTCGTAATATAAATAAAAACGGGGAAATAAGCTACATAATTAAATATCCAATATCAACCCATACAGAAAAACAACTCTAATATTGCCCGATAACCAATAGAGTACCAAAACACTGTATTGTGCATCCCTAAAATACTGAAATTATTTAAACTTGGCTAAATACATCAACATACCCGCCAGAGTCCGATGATGATCCCTTTATCAAACTGCAGCAGCTTCACAAGCCTGACACTTTGCAAACCTGTCTTGTGAATCAGAGAGCGCCACCTTGGCCTACACATTAGAGGCATAAGTCAGATGAGTGTATGTATTATGCTTCAGATTATTCAGATGTGTTTCTTACTTGTCTCCTTGAGCTGGTGAAGCTGGACACATTATTCCATGAAGCTGAAGGCTATTAAGATTGTACATGAAAGGCCAGAAGCCATGGCTCCAGCACACTGTAACCGATGAATCTTCGAAGAACGTGTGCGTCTGCTTATAGACACTTTCCTGTCCATTCTTATTTGTGAGTGTGATCTCCCACTGAATGTGTAACCTCCTGTAAAACACAGCAACCACAGGTGTATTTCCTCACTTTCACTATGGACATGTTCCACTTATATTTGACAGCTAGAAAATATCCAGATGCTTTAAAGGAATAGTTCACCCAAAAATGAACATTTTCTGAAAATTTACCCACCCCCAGGAGAGAAATGTGCACAGATTAAGCAACGTTTACAAGTAAACACAGTCCACAACAGTTCTAAACAAATGTGTTGGTGGATTTTGATGTGAGAGGACAACAGGGGATGGACTTTTTCACTCAATGAAGTGTTATTATGGATTATGGATCTCTCACTGATGTATTTATTACAAACACGCAGCTCTTTACTTCACAAGTTGTTAATTGATGGACTGGAGCTGTGTGTTTTTAGCAGCTGTTTGGACTCTCATTCTGACGGCACTCATTCACTGCAGAGGATCCATTTGTGAACAAGTGATGTAGAGCTAAAGTTCTCCAAATGTGCTCTGATAAAAAACTAACTTATCTACATCTTGGATTGCCTGAGGGTGAGCAAATTATTTGTAGCAAATTTTTACATTTTGGATGAACTATTCCTTTAAATTTTATAGACTCATACTTGGTTTGACTAATGTAATTTTTTACTTGACCTTACCTAATTGCTTATCACAAAACCAGGTCTATCTATAAGTGTTGCTATTTAAGTTTAAAATATATTTACTTTTTTATGTCTCACATATCATAGCAAGAGTAATATAGCAGAGCAAGACATATCCTAAAACAATGTCTTGCTTTGCTATATAATACATTTCAAAACAAAGGAAAGAAATGAAAGAAAATTAATTAAATGTCTGACCATTTGGATCATAAAACCACTCTGCAGAAATAAAATGGCATGTGTATACCTGCATATATAAAAATGTGTTTTTTAATCTTTTAATATAATATTTAAAATATCTCATGGTATGTTTTTATGTTTCAGGGATAAAAATAATGATTATTTATTTATTATTGTAATAAAAATATTGAAATAAAACAATCACAAATCTTCTACAAATTAGTTCTTTAGATTTGTTATCAGACAAACACAAAAATCAATAGTATCAGTCAGAAATTTTTTTTATATTAATCTCTACTCAATTTTTTACAACAAATTATTGTTTCATAAATGCTTTGCTTGAAATGTGTTATTTTTCTTTTTAAAGGGGTCATATGATGTTGCTAAAAAGAACATTATTTTGTGTATTTGGTGTAATGAAATGTGTTTATGCGGTTTAAGGTTAAAAAAACACATTATTTTCCACATACTGTACATTATTGTTTCTCCTCTATGCCCCGCCTTTCTGAAACGCTTCGATTTTTACAAAGCTCATCGGTCTGAAAAAGCGAGGTGTGCTGTGATTGGCCAGCTATCCAGTGCATTATGATTGGCCGAATACCTCAAGCATGTGACGGAAATGTTACGCCCCTTAACATA